TCCAATCGAGTTTCCACGTTTCGAAAGATGCCTCTCTCTCTACCTTATCTCATGTTCCGTGTTTTCTTGCTGCTCCTTCTGTTTTTCCTCCTTCTCCACCACAATTTTATGATAGAAATCTTTCCACATCGCCTCCTCATCCATCCTTCAAGGTATGTTTCCTCTCACGATCAATTGGTTGAAATTCACAACATCCTCATTCGCCGTTTACGGATCGAATAAAACTTTCTCTCGTTTTCTCTCGGCCAACCGTCACTTCCAACGCGATCTACGAGTCGTTCATTGTTGAAACTACACAATGCTCGACCAGTATAGCAAGAAATTCTTGTAAACCGAGTTAACGCCGGTTGGTCAGCTCGAAACAGTCAATACTGTGTTGCGAGTAACACGTTTCGACATCCTCCATTCACCGGTATTTCCGTTCCAGCCGACAGATGGCGCATGCTACCAGACCAAGCATCCATAACCTTCTCTTTGAAAGAGTTTGTTCCACCATGGATGGTGCGAGTTATAATTTATGACACTGATTATGATTATTTATGATGATCATCGTGGAGAATCGAAATAGATTCGCTCGAACTGTTGTTTCGTTTGAAACTGAGGATTTGGTAATTTTAATATTCGAACTGGCATTCACGCTTCGTGATGACCTCGTGATTCTTGAATAGCACGGATGAATCAATGTTTAGGGATGAGAATTGTCATTGCGATGACATCACGTTAGTTGACATCATGTTAGGTATTTTGCCAAGGAATAATTCGAGTGACTGAGATGATTTTAATAAATTCGTCGAGTGTCATTGGCATTATGGCGTGTCTACTTCGAAGAAAGTCGATGATCTTTCAATTTTTGATTTTGATTTTTGATGGACACATCTTTTGTATATTTCTTCTAGTATTTTTAATCTAATCTTCGATGTTGAATATAAATATGTATTTATTGATTTCTTTTAAAATATGTATGTACCAAGTATGTTTTGTTATTAATATAAATTATTCCATTCGAGATATAAGAATAAAAAAATATAACGAACGTGTTGAACAGTAAGAGAGAAAACAAAAGGAAGTTTAAAAATAGACATTGAATTTTTCCTCAACCTCGATCCTATTTTTAACAAATGGAAATCTCGTTTCCTGTTATTTATCTTTATACCATTTTGTTCATTTTGCAATATTTCGTTCAGGATATCATGAAGACGACATTTATGGGAAGTCGTGTGACACACGTTCGATCGAATCTAGCGATATACTCTATACATACTTGGACGTGGCTAAACAATATTTCACATCCAGTTATCAGAAACAAACGCAACAATGACTTGAGAAAATTACACACCAGAGTATAAAACAGAGAAAAAAAGAATCAAAGTTTTAGAAACAGGTATTTACATTATTTCCAAACATGATGATTCCCAAACTAGTTTCATTTCTTCTATTCTCAAGTAAGTATCTTTAAAAATGAACGCGATACGAATCTTTTCAATAATATTTGTATGTGCAATAATATTTGTATTTACGATAGATTTCCTTATACATTTCACTATCTCTGAACACATCGATCGAAAAAATCCCATTGTACGCGACGATTTTCAATTCGTGTTGGTCAATCCTAGACAAGTGCATCGTTTGGAAACGGGAATTCGAGATTTTTTCTCGAAAATAGGGAAGCCTATAAGTAAACCAATTATATTAAGATCGTCGAAAGAAGCCGATGTGTTGTCAACGATCCGGGAAATATGCAAGAATATAAGGAAGAGCGTAATTGAATTCGTTAACGATTTTGGATTGATTAATAACGTTCAATTGTACGAAAATAAATCGAGAGAGGATCCATTGTCCGATGATTGGTATTCCGAGGTGTTGCTGCAAAGCGTGTATACGATGTTAGATCTGGGAAATATGATTAATGAAATTACATCATTGACCGATATATTTAATAGAAATGGAAACTCGAGTTCGGGAGGAAACGAGGTCTGTAGAATTTTAAAAAAATTTTATAATTAAACATGATGGACATTCGTAGATAAAAAAATTTCTTAATTCAAATCGAATCATTAGTAAAATTATAAAAATATTTTTAGTTCCAATTGTTGAATTAACGAGATAAAATTTTTAATATTAATTTTACACATTTTTTATTTCTCATTTCTCTTATGCAACTATGCAACATCTTTTAGAAAATTCAAAGATTTATAGATTTTGAATTGAATTGACAAAAAAAATGTTTATCAATATCGTAGCATCTGACAAATAAAACAACTTCGGACGGTTTCAAATTCCTTGGCTCGGTGGACGACGTGCTGGAATTCATCGCCAAACTGGCTCAATGCTTTTCAGAAATGAACACGAAGAGAAACCAGAAATGGTCTTCGAACGTGATTCGAACGGCTTTAAATATGATGAACAATGCGCCAAGACAGGCCTTTCAAAATATAAAGTCAAAAGTAAACGACACTTTGCTGAGGAACGATATTCTCAGGTATCGCGGCCAACAAAAACCGTGGCACGTTTTACTTTGCCTCGTGATTACGAACAACGATAGAATTAATTACGACGATTGCGTTGATGAATTTCGACGTTTCGACGAGTGTCGGAACAACGCGAGATTGCGATCGACGAGCGAGGCGTACAACGTAGACGCGAAATCGTGGACGATGGCTATTCAACGTTTGAGCAATTGCACGGTCGTGGAGGATGAGAACGGAGAGGAGGAGGAGATTTCCTGCAAAATTGTTCGAAGAACGCCGAAGAAGATCAAAAGAAAGGTGAGCTACGTGTTCGAGAGGATCTTGGACAAGAGGATATCCAAAGGGACCCCTTTCCATCGCGCTGTCAACGATCTTGGGGACATTTTGTCGAAGAGCATTTGGGGGCAAAGATTCATCGACGAATTATTACAATGTATCAATATTTTCGAGGATGGTAAAGAGAAGTTGAGGAAACTTTCGAAATTTGTGGGCAAGGATGATGAAGCTGCGATAAAGTTAGTATGATTTTAAATTCAATTCGAATTTTGATTATTTTCTAAAACGATTAATAAAATCGATTAAGAGGTTTTTTTTATGGAAATTTAGAAATTTTATAATTAAAAGGATTATTAGTTAATTTTGAGAATCATTTCAAGATTGCAACTTATGTTTGTTAAGTTTTAATTTTCAAAAGCAGTCGAACAATATAATAAAGAAATTTATAAATTGCATAAATTTTGAAATGAATTGTTGATCAGGCACAAGGAGATCTCGAGAGCTTTAAAGTTGTACAAAAAGGGGGCGCTTCTCAGAACGTTCAGAACGATCAACAAATTGCATCAATCCGCCATTGATTTCGAAAAATTCTTCGCTCAAGGGATGAAAGAGACTTTGAAGGAAACTTGGCAGAGTCATGTGAATGTTTTAACACATCTGATGGACTGGATGACCAAACTACTGGAGCTTTACAGCGGTGAGAACTTCAATGGACACGAACCGAACTCGGTGGACAAGAGCACGTCGCAAATCGAGTGGAATAGCGAAGAGGATTCTGAAAATATGCAAGAGTTTGCAACACGTTCTAGAACAGGTTACTTCCTAATTTTCGATCCCTAATCAATCAAAATTATTTATATTTAATTGTATTAAATATTTCGTCGAAATCAAAATTGTTGAAACGAAGAAACTTTTTTTTAGAAAATCTTGGATATAATTCTCAACTATAAGAATATAGATTTTTATTCAAAAATGAATATTTTTTTTAATTATTCTACATAAAAGAAGAAGATTCTTATTTTATATTAATAAAAAATTGATAAGAGAAATGATATTTCAATTTTATGCGTGACACAAACTTCAATTTTGCAGAAATGATAAAAGATGCGGACAACTCTATGAATAGCCTGGTGGAATCGATGAATCATTTAAGCAGATATCGAAACGTGGACAACGACAGTATGCTGGTTTCTATGGCCAATAATCTTCTACTGATCGTGATATTCATCGAAACTATAAGCTTCGCTTCTTCGTTGTACGCTCTTCGACAAACCCCGAATGAATATGCTTCCTTAGAAATCTATAACGGATGGAATCGTGAACGTAGATCCATGTTTCTCTCTCAATACGATCAAATTATCGATTTTCCATCGCGTGATCATTTTCTTTTCGCATATGATGAAAATTCCTCTTTATCTTTTTCGGATGAAAATGATTGATTCGACAATAAATTTTGAAATTGTTTGAGAATTTAATTTTAATCTTGAATATTATGGTATTAGTATGGGTTCAAAAAATAAATTAGTTATGATATTACTGTATTGAAATATGTATCGAAATAAATGCCTCTTCCGATCTCCAACACGACGAATTTATATTTATCCTTATTAATTATCATATAATATAAAAAGAATAAATAGATTTTTAATTAAAAAGAAGAGGAAATAAAAATTTTTCATCTTATCACCTATTATATTTTTAATCTTTTATATTATTTTTCTCGTTGGAAAAACGAGTTTATTTTACTTTTAAAAGATATAATAATATTTTGATCAATAACCAATATTTTTAGTAAAATATCATCGCACATAAATCAATATATTCTTGTAACTATTTTCTAGAATCTTCTAATTTATCAAATCTTTGTTCTTGAAAATAATAATAAATAATTTTCAACGATTATCTTTGCAAAATTCATTGCCACGTGACATTTATAGCTTCTGAAGATACAAAGCATTCTGTTATACAGAATGTCGTACAGATTTGTTAAACACATTCGTTCAAGCTGTCAGTAAAAATGCGTGCAAAATCTATTATTTTTTACCTAACATGTAAGTCGTTTTTCATTTTTTTTTTCATTCCTATAAGTAATATTTTCCTGGATTTAATTAACAATTTTTGTTCATATTTTCAGGTATTTTTATTACAATAGATGTATGTAAAAATGTTTCTTGCAAAGCGACAATAAAAATCATTGGTGGACATCCTATTAGTATAAAACAACGACCATTCATGGTTAGTAGAATCTATCAATTGTTTTTCAAATAAATCGTTTGAATGATTTTAAAGGTAAAAACAATTGCAGCTTTCTTTGCACAATTCTGATGGATTTATATGTGGAGCTAGTATTTTGTCCAAAAATTGGGGTATCACTGCTCTTCATTGTCTGTAAGTATTTAATAAACAACGAATAACGATGATTTGAAAAAGAAAAGTACATATTAATTTTTACAAAACTTGCAGAAAAATCTTAATATTCTCTCGATTAATATTCTCAATGCGAATATGAATTATTTTTTTCACAAAATTTTGTTTAATTTGTAACAATTGAGTGGCTATTTAGACTTCCAGATAGAGAAACAAATTATTTCGTGAGAGCTGGCTCGAACAAGCTTTACCAAGGGGGATCGTTGCATAAATTAACAAAGATATACATGTATAACAATACCATGTTCCAATATTGGTTCTCGAGTATACTGTACCACGATATAGCGTTGTTCGAGGTACGACCTCGCTTTCGATTCTCGAGCACTGTTCGAGCTGTTCGATTGCCCACCGAATTCAGCAAACCACCTCAGCAACTGTGTGTTTGCGGTTGGGGTTATACCAGTGTCCAAAGTAACGTGAGTGTCTGTCTTGTTCCCCAATCGTCACGCTATGTACACGAGTTTAGATTTATTAATTGATACTTGCTCTTCAAACTCGCAATTATGAATTTCAAACTTCTTTTTCAATTTGAAATTTTCAGAAAAGACGATCGAATTTTCAAATATTGCAAAAATTTCTTTTTTGGAATATATGAATATTTTTATTACACTCTTATTTGAATTTTTAGATAAATTATTAATCTTTCAAAACTTTCTTTTTCCTAGGCGAAAATTAGCGATATTTTGATGGGAATCTGCATTCGCCACACACCATACGAGGCATGCATAGAGGAAACTCCAGAATATAGAATGCTCGTTAAGAAGGATTACCATCTTTGTTACGGAGCGAGTGGAAAGGATTCTTGTTACGGGGATTCCGGAGGTCCGTTGGCAAGTAAAAACACCCTTTACGGTATCGTCTCTTTCGGTCAAAATTGCGCCATAGTGTCAGGGGTGTACACAAAAGTCTCTTACTACAGACGATGGATTAAGCAAATCACGAATCTGTAATCGAGTATCAGTAAAACAGATGGAGATTTTATTAAATTTTTGTTGCCGAAAAAAAATTCGGCATCGAACTTGGAAAATCGATAATCATTTATTATTTTATATAACGAAGTAACAATATGAAAAATGGATAATAAAGCATGATGCGAAATTGATTCGACGAAAAAAAAGGTCGATTGTTTCTCGTGAGAGAGGAGCCCATTTCCAGGAAAGTGAAAAACCCGTGTCCAATGTCAGAATACTGTGAAGGCTTGGTCTGTTCAGGTTCGATTCACGCAGGAAGTCCATTACGCACGTTCTGCGCAAGATCCTGTCGCGCACACACAACCACTCGGCGCACGTACCGTGTACTTAGGGCTGAATGAAGTTCGAACAGGGCCCTTGGGTAATACGTAATTAGAAATTATTGTGCGCGATTGTATTTCGTATTATCGGCACGCATGAGTAAGTATGGTTATTTCTGGACAAGTTAGAAGATATGCGATGAATAGTCCGAGATTTGGAGAAATGAATACTAATTTTCTTCTTTTAAATATATATTTTTGAAAAATTAATTAGTAAGATTCTTCCTAGCGAGTTTTTTCTCGATATATAGCTAATGACAGTTTCTAATATAAATATCGTATAAAAATTCAGGATAAATTTACTATTATAATTTCATCCACTTTCTTTTGTACTTATTGCATGAATGTTTCTTAATTTGTTTATTTTATACAAAGATTAGATTCACAGATTCATATTATTTTCTAATCTTAATACAATATTCTAGGACAAAAAATAACAACAATTAAACAGTAGTTTCCCTTCGAATCTCTTATCTATATTTTCATTGATTTTTTCTTCAACAATAAGATGGATATAAAATCAGTTTTACATCTTCGCTTTTAATCTTCGCTACAGGTGTGCCCGAAATCCATTCAAAACAAAAGGCAAAATTAAATATTCCCCGCGCACAATCTATAGAACAATCGTTTCGGCTATCGTTTCGTGCGCGGGTGAGCAGGCAAGCGTTACACCTTGCCATCATTTACTCGAATGACTCACCCACGCTTGTTTCCCTGCATAAACTGCCGGCTTTTCCACCGGGTCTTTAAACTCCCTTGCCACGTGCAACGTGTCTTCTAACCGTGAGAAGTGAATTATCGTCGGCCACATCCGTCCATTTCTTCCGTGCCTCTCTGTTCGTTGGATAAAGACGATAAGGATACGATTCGACGACCGTATACCTCGAATATTATTGTTAAGTCGAGATTCGATCGTCGGATGCATACAAATCATGCATCTCGAATTCGAAATTTTGATAATTAAAATGATAAATTGTTTTGTTATACGTAAATCCATAAGTGTTTTCTAATAGAAAATTAAGGATAAGGGGGGTTTGAAATTTTTAGAAATTGAGATTGCAAAAACCCAAAATAGTAATATTAGTTACCATAATTCTATGAAAGTATTATTTAAATAAAAGTATCAGAAATATTTAATATTTCTTTCTCTGTCAATAAATTGAAGAATTCAGTAACAGTGTATTTGCTATATTTTATATAGGAAGCTATGAATAAGCGAAAATAAAATAGATAGAAATAAAAAGAAAGGTTAGTCTAAGAAAATAAAATATCGACAATCAGTTTATCGAGTTTATCCAAATGCATTCGGAAAGGAGAAAGCATTACAGCATGTTGATTCTCATTCATTAACAACTAATGCTCTGATATAACAGATCAGACAGTTTATCGATCCAAGTTGTCATGGTTCATTCATAGAATTCCATGTGGAAATTTCAAGTGTTATTATAGTCTATGTATTAATTTACAAAGATCATATGTATTTATAATTATTATAAAGGCAAAGAAAACAAAAGGAAAGAGACATTAAAAAAAAAATTTGGAAGTTTAAGTTTAAAATTTTATCAATTCAATTAAGCTAATTGTAAGTGCTTCTCAATTAAATCTATCAATTAAATTTATCAATTATTATAAAGGCAAAGAAAACAAAAGGAAAGATTGAAACATTAAAAAAAAATTTGGAAGTTTAAGTTTAAAGCTTCACCAATTCAATCAACCTAATTTTAAGTGCTTTTGAATTAAATCTATCAATTAAATCTATCAATTATTAAAGGCAAAGAAAACAAAAAGAAAGATTGAAACATTAAAAAAAAAATTTGGAAGTTTAAATTTAACTTCACCAATTCAATCAAGCTAATTGTAAGAATTAGTGCTTCTCAATTAAATCTATCAATTAAAAATGCTTCTCAATTAAATCGATTTCACATTCACATAAGAAAAACGAATCTTATTCATTTCGTTACTCACCCCGTTACCACGGAAGGATAAATCTTGTTACGCAGATTTTTTAAAACGTATCGTTTGAATTGCGGGTACCAAGTGTGGTTACACATCAGACTGCAATTCTTCAACGATTGTTCCATATTCTTCACACTTTCTGAATCACTGTTATCACTCGCGTTCTTCTCGATCAGTGTCACAGGCATTTCCTCAGTACCCACGATCACATAATCGTCCATAATTTTTTCCGAAGCATTATTGTTCTTCACAAGTATCTCTTCAGCATTCATAATCACGTATTCGTTCAAATTCTTTCTCGTCTTGTCACTTGCTCTCGTTCCAACGAAAGATTTTGACACGTAAAAATCGGGCTCGTCATCTGTCATTATCGACACATTCTTGTTCCTCAGGTATTCTTCTTCGTTTCGTTGTGTATCACTTCTCCCCCCATATTTTTCTGAAATCTTTTCTTTAATTTCAATTGATTTGGAAGAAACTCGCTTCGATGATTTTCTACGACGACGTCTCAGTTTCACGAACGAAGTTAACATATTCATAGAGAATATTTTTATTTTTGAAAAATATATAGGTTTGCTAATACATCATAATATTCTTCTCTGCTTTCTTTTAATCAATTCGTTTGAAACAAACGTAGAAGTTCATGATAGTGTCAAAGGGATGAATTATTTCATTTCACTCTTAT